CAGGTACACACACACAGGTACACACACACACACACGCAGGTACACAGTTTGAGTTCCTGCTTTTCTTCACCTGGATCGAAGGTGAACCTGACCATCGCACATTTGAGCTCCAAGTGTCTGCCAGGCTGTCTCCTCCCACCAGCTCATGTCCTTGAGGACTCAGGGTTTGTTCGGGCAGTCGTGTCCTGACTGACTCATGCAGGAGTCGGTGTGTCATGCTCGAGCCTCCTCCAGCTGTGCGACTGCAGATGTTTTTCCTGGTTTTGTTCATAAATGTGTTAAACGTCTGGGTTCTCCTCGTCTTGAGTGAACCAACCCTGCTCACGCAGGTGCGACCCTCACAGGTGTTAGGAGAGCGTGGTATCAGAGATAATGTGTGACGCTGTGCCGTGTGCTGCCGCTTTCAGCTGCGTAACCCATCAGATAAGTTCATCTACGCCACAGTGAAGCAGAGCTCGGTGGATATCTACTTCAGAAGGCAGGTGGAGCTCAGCACCATGTACCGGCACATGGAGAAGCACAACTACGAGAGCGCCGCCGAGGCCATCCAAGCTGTGCGAGACAAGTAAGCAGCTCAGAGTCAGCACACCTGTCGTGAACGCACCTGTTGTACTGTGGAGATTGCCTCTGTCAACACGTTCGCCCTCCTCCTGCAGTAAGCTTCACGCCTTCATCTGGGACAGCGCCGTGCTGGAGTTTGAGGCGTCGCAGAAGTGCGATCTGGTGACGACAGGAGAGCTGTTCTTCCGCTCCGGATTCGGGATCGGAATGAGGAAGGACAGCCCGTGGAAACAGAACGTGTCTCTGGCTATTCTCAGGTACGAAAACCTTCAGGTACTCACCTGCAGCCCATCCTGGGTGTGTTTTAGCGAACAGGAAAACTTTGAGAAGCTGAAAGATGTTTCTGTTGTGTCACAGCGATTCTTTTCTCTGACCAAATGTGTCTTCACCAAAGACACATTCTGATTGGCTGCGATTACAGTCAGAGTTAGAGAGTCATCACCGATGATGGCCAAGAGGATTTCTACTCCGCCGACACACTCCTGAAACAACCAGCGGGAGGGTGTTGGTGGAGTATGTGCTTACAGCTTTCGTGTTTCCTCCACCTCGTAATGTCGAACCATTTTCCCAAAACGTTGATTCTGTTCATCTGGACATTTTCAGTGGGAGAAACGTCTCTTTAGGAGCCTTCCCCTCTGACAGATGTCCAGCTGGGATATCCACATTTACTCAGGGCCTTCTTCATGTGATGTTCTTCTGCTTCTCTGGCCACTGTGACTGTGGGGATGTTGGCTCTGTGCTGTAGGGTCATCAATGATGATGAAACTGACCTCAGCACATTGTTAGTCAGTGCTGCTAGAATCAGAATCAGAATCAGAATCAGAATGGGGTTTATTGCCAGATGTTGAGGTTTACAACATTAGGAAATTGCTGCTTGCTAGTGTCAGTCCTTGTACAAAGTGTGCATCTCTGGCCTTAAGTACTCTTAATTGATGATTAGAGTCAGTACAAAAAGGCGGGCGAGATGGCAGGACACGCCCACACGAGACCAATCTCACAGGAGGCCCCGCCAGGGCCGTGAAAACATAAAAAGTGAGTGACCTGGGGTGTGGAGGATGTCACACAGACACATATTTCCACATTAAAAACACCTGAGCACAAACCAACATCTGAGCAATCAAATACGTGTCCGCTCACGCTTCATTGACTCTCCACAGTTCTCATGAGAACGGCTTCATGGAGGATCTCGACAAGACGTGGGTTCGATACCAGGAGTGCGACTCCAGGAGCAACGCCCCGGCCACCCTCACTTTCGAGAACATGGCGGGTAGGACTCAGTGCTGCCTCTGCTGCATGAACTGCGCCCCTGAGGCTGTGCCGTTTAGCAGATGTTACCTGTGAAGCGTTTCACGCCGTCTCTCGTCACTTGTGCCCCTCAGGTGTGTTCATGCTGGTTGCTGGAGGCATCGTGGCTGGGATCTTCCTCATCTTCATCGAGATCGCCTACAAACGGCACAAAGACGCCCGCAGGAAACAGATGCAGCTCGCCTTTGCTGCCGTCAATGTGTGGAGGAAGAACCTGCAGGTCCGTCCCTCTACTTTACTCTACTCTACTTTACTTTACGCCCTGACCTCTGCTGAAGCTCTGTGTGGCGTTATGGCACTCAGCCCACCTGTCTGTGGCTCTGTGGTAAACAGTATTCAGTATGTGTGATCCTCACAGCGAGGTCATTATAGCCAGCAGCAGGACTGAGATCAGGATCAGGCCTTTGTTTTTACATCTGTTAGGAAACATCTGTCATCTTTGCTGTTTAATAGGAGAAGCATGAGTTTTGTGCTCAGGATGAAGGGTTGTGTTAATTAAACTGACTGCTGATCATCAAGAGCGTGCTCACTGATGCTTGGTTAGCTTTCAGTGGCTCCGTGAAGCTCGGGTCGTTTTCTGATTCACCGGTGAGTGATTTATTCTGTAACTGTGACCAACAAGTGAAAAATGCCCAACCTACAGCCCAGAGCCCCCAGAACAGAAAATGTGTCATTTTCTCTTTTGTGAGTTTAGCCTGAGGTTAGTCTGAGATTGGTCAGAGATTAGTCTTGGGTTAGTCATAGGTTAGTCTGGGGTTAGTCAGAGGTTAG